TTTTCCCACATAGTACAGTAAATTGTAAATGTCTAAATAAGAAATAAACCCTCCACAGTGACGTAATGATGCTCTCAACCAATCGTTTTCTGCCGTTAGCCTCGTACATTTAGCTAAACCCGGTTAGTTACGGACAAAGAACGCCAAAAACCCAACTCTTACTTTGTGAATCCGTGAGTGAAATCATTTTGAAAGCTTCCGAAGATTTAACCAAACCAAATGATGACCGCTGCTCCTAAAATGTGTGACTGTTAAAGACCAGAAGCCAATTCAATTGTTGCTACGACGGCTGCAGTGCCACAAGCACGGGCAAAGCTAGCGGTATGTTACGCCAACACGTCAAATGGAGCCACGTACGCACTCACGCAATGTATCAGAGATCGTCTATTTTGACATCATACAAACATCAGACTCTTGAGCTTCTTTTGGAATCCTAAGAGAACTTTTAGTTAATTTTTAATGCTTGACAGAGGTTCAGGTAAATCAAAAACGACAACAAACGAGAAATGTTCCTAATCCCACGAGATTAAAGAATATGTTGTTAGAATAGAATAGAATAGAATAGAATAGAATAGAATAGAATAGAATAGAATAGAATAGAATAGAATTATACTTTATATATTGTCCCACAGTGGAGAAATTCAGATAAAGCAGCAGCATCGGGACATGTAGGTTCACACGAAGATGAAAAAAAAAATATATATATATATTAGAATATAAAAACAACAACCAAAATAAAGAATAATTTCTAGGTACAAGATTATAACTTAAAAATACTGTACAGTTATCAGAAATATCATACAATGATCCAAGGAATGTGCAGCTGAGTAGAACAAGGGTTATTGAGTTTGTCAGGAGGAGAGAGTCAGTGTTCTTCTCCCATTTGCTGGGAGAAGGATCTCATTTGTTTGATTATTAGTATGATATAGATTAATATATAATTTAGATTTAGATTAAATGGAAAATGTTGAGGGAAAATAATATATTTCAACAAAAATGTAATGCTAAGACTGGAATTTGATCCAAACACTGATAAAATAACAAGTCAATAACATTAATCTAATTCAGTTAAATTTGTTTATTTAATTCGAATATGTAAAAATTACAGATTTGAATATTTTTATTTTAATGTATAATATCTGAATTGAAATACAGAAAATGAAAACATTTCTATATAACAAATGAAACGCACTTATATTTTCAAAAGAAACTGTATGTTGGGTTCAGAAATGCACCGATGAAAACAATATCTTGTAATATAGCACTCTGTTTTGTTGTGCCTTGTGGGTTATAAGTCCATATGATAAACAAGCTTCCTACACTTTTTGAACTGTGTTAATAAAATGAACGAACTTTCCAATGATGTTCTCGACCATAGAAATTCAAACAGAGTGATAGCTCTTTATATTTTAACTCATACTGAGTCCAGTATGTTGTAG